CCAACAAAAATAAATATTTTTATTTTTTATTTTATTTATTATTATTATTATTATTATTATCACATTTTTATTTATTTATTATATTTTTGTTCGGTCAATGTATGAAAATATGTGAAAATGTTTGTTTGAATCACAATTCCAAAGTTAAAATGAAAAAGAATAAAAGAATTAAATTAAGGATAAGTTTAAAAAAAAGGAAAAAGAAAAGAAAGGTTATGCATATGTGTGTGTGTATATATATTTATAAGAAAAAAGAATTCCAAAAGATATTTACAACTCCTGCCACTTTCCTGGACACACATATTTATTATATATGAATTAGTTAAATATATATATATATTAAATCATATATATGTGTATGTATGTATGCAAGTGTGTATATATATATATATATAATCATAGAGATTGCAAAAAAAAAAGATGGTTAAGAAATCACACAATCATCTTTTTTCTTTTTACTATCATCAATTGGTACACCCCTTAATCTTTGTTGAGCTCTTTTATCGCCATGTTCAGCAGCACGACGATACCAAACATTAGATTCTAATTGATCCTTTTGAATCCCAATACCGACCTCAGTGAAATACCCTATAGCATATTCAGCTTTTGCCAATTCTTTTTCAGCTGCACGTTTAGCCCATAAATATGCTTCTGTGTCACTTTGTGGTAACACACCAGGACTTCCAACAAGATACCAAGCTGTTAATGCAAAACAAGCCTCAGGGTGATCTTGTTGAGCAGCAACCGTGTAGTAGTGAATTGAGAGAGCGGCATCTTGCGGACAGCCCATCTTTCCGTACTCGTAACATTCACCTAATTTAAACGCAGATGGTGCATAGCCTAAATCTGCAGCCTGTATTAACAATCGAACAGAATATTCCAAATCTACAAATACAATGTTTTCAACACCTTTCTCATGAAGTTCAGACAATTCGTGTAAAGCATGTGGAAATTCTTCATTTGCTGATTCAACTGATCTTTTGAGCCACTTTACACCATCTCTAGGATTTTTTGATAAGCCAAGTTCACCCTTTAGCTCAGCAATACCTAAACGATACATAGCACCAGGATGATTTGATATTGCAGATTTCCTACATATATAATAATAAATATTTATATATTTAGTAATAAATATTTATATAACTAGTATTAATTAAAGATAATAATCACAATTATTTATTTATTATTAATTTGATCTACTAACCTTAAAAATTGTAATGCTTTACCATTATCTTTACGACAACCCCAACCATATTCATAACATGTACCAGCCCGATAAGCAGCTTCAGCGTGACCATGTTTAGAAGCTTGAACAAACAAGGGAAAAGCTCTGTCGTAGTCAGGTTTGTTTTTTGGTGTATTGATCGCGCTTGCGTAACAATCAGCCAGGTAATATTGAGAGTTTGCATGACCTCTATCCGAAAGTTTTTTTAGTATAGACATTCCTTCTTTGCATAACTCGGCTTTTTTTTTAGGGTCTTCGTTCATAGCTCTTGAAGCTTCTATCATAAAAGCAGCAAATTCAAACTGAAGTTCAGGATCATTTGTTTTTTTAGCATTTTGACGATATAGTTCTAAAGTTTCATGAAAGTAAGCAGAGAACTTGTTTGACATTATTGATGATAAATTGAAGTCAAATAAGAAGTTATCTAAA